TGGTCACGTGGTCATAGTCACAGCGCACAGGTCACAGATCACGATCAGTTCAGCAACGGCTGTCGTGGAGAGTTCTTGGATGGGTGACAGCGTTCGGCAGCTTGGCTCCTAAGAGTTTCTTGGGCTCGATCCTGCCGCGCACTGTGCAAGTGACGTAGCAGTGAATGGGTACCCGGTATGATGGGATGGCAACGTGTTAACCTTCCAGTACATAACAGGCAGTTCCCTAGGGAGGTGAGAATAATTGTGCTGACACTACTAAACAAATTTCCGAATGTCTTGGTACTTCTGAACAAGCTGCTTGTCTGATACTAACTGCCCGCTTGTCTGTTGCTCCTAACTGTCTTGATACCACTTAACACACAGCCCGACTGTCTTGATACAAGTGCCTGTGTGATACAACTGAACAACCTGACTGCTTCTCTGTGTGATACAACTGAACAACCTGACTGCTTCTCTGTGTGATAAAACTGAACAGGCTGCCTGTCTGTGTGATACTACTGAACAAACTCTCCATCTGTCTAAGTAATACTACTGAACAGAATGCTTCTCTGTGTGATACTACTGAACAACCTGACTGCTTGTCTGTGGGATACTACTGAACAGACTGCCTGTCTGTCTGATACTACTGAACTGACTGCTTCTCCGTGTGATACGTCTGAACAGACTGCCTGCCTGTGTGATACTACTAAACAGATTGCCTGTCTGTTTGATACAACTGAACAGACTGCCTGTCTGTGTGATATTACTGAACAAACTGCCTGTCTGTGTGATACTACTGAACAAACTATCCACCTGTCTGTGTGATACTACTGAAAAAACTGCCTGTCTGTGATATACTACTGAACAACCTGACTGCTTCTCTGTGTGATACAACTGAACAGGCTGCCTGTCTGTGTGATACCACTGAACAAACGGTCTGCCTTTGTGAAACTACTGAACAACCTGACTGCTTACCTGTGTGATACCACTGAACCGATTGCCTGTCGGTGTGATACTACTGAACAAACTGCCTGTCTGTGTGATACTATTGAACAAACTGTCTTTCTTTCTCATGGTATTAAACAAACTGTCCTCCTTTCTGTGTGATACTACTGAACAGACTGCCTGTTTGTGTGATACTACTGCACAAACTGCCTGTCTGTGTGATATCGCTGAACAAACTGCCTGTCTATGTGATACGTCTTAACAAACTGCCTGTCTGTCTCATGGTATTAAACAAACTGTCCCCCTTTCTCTGTGATACTAATTTACAAACTGTCCACCTGTCTGATGATGAAGAGATTGCCCGGCTTTCAGGATGAGGATGGGGATGGGATACCTTGTCACAACATAAGTAAGTTGACCTTCACGTTGTCAACTCGTCCGTTAACCTGAGGGACCGTACCATGTCGCGATATGAAACTTTTGTGATTGTCATGCGAAGACGAACATGGAAGTTGTATTTCAACACATCTACTCCATAAACATTTCTGTGTCGGTGTGTGGATACCTCCATTTGTCTGCTACATTTACTCGAAACCGGTTATACTGGATTGAACTTTTTCAGCTTCACGAAGAGGATGTATTCACAGTAGAGATGTGTCATTGTAAATAACGAATGTCATTGTAAATAACGAATGAATTATATATGCGTATAACAAAGACATTTCAATCTTGTGAACTTGGATTGACTAGCCTCCTTACTGCAGCTGGGGTACCGGTGTTGATACAGGGTTGCCTTACTTGTCCTGCGGGATTACCTATGTACATTGTGCGAGATCCCTTACAGTAAGCACAAGGAGTAGATTCTTATCCTTCATGAATAAATTAGCCTCGACCTATTTCCCTTTGATGTTTCCCTCTGATGTTAAATGTATCCATCTCATCGCTGCCCCACCCTGTAAAACGTTTTGTTTTACTTATTGCGAAAATACAATTGAAAATACATTATTTGTCTCGAATAGAAGACTTTCCTTAATTATAAGCCCCATACCATTCGACAAAACGACCATTCACTACCGTTTGACATTTGACACATCATTTCACGAACTAAACTAAACTAGTTTAGAAGTACATGTCTCTAAGTTGTTTCGAGTGCATTTTCTCCGTGGCCGCTGATGCAAAAGACATCAGTATTGACTCAACCACGACTGTGTGCGGCTGACACAGCTGTATGTCAATGTGTAACAACGACTGTGAGTGGCTGACAGAGCTGTATGTCAATGTGTAACCACGAATGTGTGTGGCTGACAGAGCTGTATGTCAATGTGTAACCACGACTGTGTGCGGCTGACAGAGCTGTATGTCAATGTGTAACCACGACTGTGTGCGGCTGACAGAGCTGTATGTCAATGTGTAACCACGACTGTGTGCGGCTGACACTCCTGTATGTCAATGTGTAACCACGACTGTATGCGGCTGACAGAGCTGTATGTCAATGTGTAACCACGAATGTGTGCGGCTGACACAGCTGTATGTCAATGTGTTACCACGACTACGTGTGGCTGACAGAGCTGTATGTCAATGTGTAACCACCACTGCGTGTGTCTGACAGAGTTGTATGTCAATGTGTAACCACGAATGTGTGTGGCTGACAGAGGTGTATGTCAATGTTTAACCACGAAATTGTGTGGCTGACAGAGCTGTATGTCAATGTGTAACCACGAATGTGTTTGGCTGACAGAGCTGTATGTCAATGTTTAACCACGACTGTGAGTGGCTGACACAGCTGTATGTCAATGTGTAACCACGACTGCGTGTGTCTGACAGAGCTGTATGTCAATGTGTAACCACGAATGTGTGTGGCTGACAGAGCTGTATGTCAATGTGTAACCACGACTGTGTGCGGCTGACAGAGCTGTATGTCAATGTGTAACAACGACTGTGTGCGGCTGACAGAGCTGTATGTCAATGTGTAACCACGACTGTGTGCGGCTGACAGAGCTGTATGTCAATGTGTAACAACGACTGTGAGTGGCTGACAGAGCTGTATGTCAATGTTTAACCACGACTGTGAGTGGCTGACAGAGCTGTATGTCAATGTGTAACAACGACTGAGTCAGAACATGTAAAGGATGGACATTAACAACTCATCTAATTTGTTTCGTTAAGAATGCTGTTGGTGCACGTATGGGCTTCTGGACTGAGGCGAGGTCGGAGTGGTCTTGATGGCTTATGTAACACAACCCAAACAGCTCATTGTTTCTTGTTCCACAATGATCCGTCTTTTGAAGAGTATTGACTTGGTGTATTAGGTCACACACAGAGAACATTTTAATACTTTCACTGATACAGATAACATAATACATGAAACCTACAGGACTCTTTCTCCTGTGATAGACTCAAATTTTAAAGGTGTGTAAATAAATATAAATACAGTTTTTGAATTTAATATGTACAAATATCAACAGCTAACCTACCTCATCAGGTTAGAGAGAAGTTATAAGTACACAGGATATGTTGACAGAAAGCGTTACACTATTTGGACTAATTACAATTTTGATTTCCAGACGCTTATCTTATGGTTAGACTATCATTTCGGGCAGATCAAGTCACCAAAAATGAAAAACGTTGATCTGTAAGTAATGTCATGACTGCCAACAGTTTCCAATGCACTTCTCAATAAACGTCCCTGAAGATATCGGGGCTGATTAGACCCCAAACAGGTTAGTGCAAAGATGACACTACTGAGGATCGGATAGCTATCTTGTGTTATGGTTGACAGTGTGTCATCGTACATCGATGGAGTTGATTCTTGCTCTTGCACACCAGTATTTACAAGTCCTTGTGATATAGCTGAGAAATAGCTCACCATGGCGAAAAACAACATTCACTTATCCTAATCAAAGCTTATTCGCCCGATGATGTGGCACACATTCCAGAGGTGACTCGGGGATGTCGGGGACGACTCAGGGCGATGTGATCTTGCAACATCCTTGATCCAACGTAATCTATCTCACTTTCGCACCTGGCGCGCAATATCATAAAAATTGTAATGACACAACATAGTAAAGTCAGATATCACCTTTTTAATCACTCATCATGTTTATATTGTGTTTTGTTTGATTTCGTATTCTGCTCCTCGGCGATCAACTCATTCCTGAAAACACTGCCAATCCCCATTACTCATAGCTGAGATTGTAAATGTGATGTCATATTTGTTAATGTCTACATGGGGTAACTTCCTGGTTGACGATAACACGACCTATGTGTGACGTGGGTTTCAGATAAGCTAGTAAGGGTACTACTGCATCGTTACTGGGCCAGATAGTGGGATTGTTGGGTGCGACCACAGAAATTTAGTAGCCTGAATGCATCCATTACACAAGTGTACCAAAACCGTGTACCCAGGACCATATAACGAAGGTTAGGTTTAGATGAACTCGGGTTGTATGTTGGCGCTCTGCAGATGTCTGTGGCGAGACAGACGGTGACGGAGATATGCGCTTCTCCTCCTGCTCACCGGGCGCCCTTAAAGTAAACATGACCTGCTCGTATATGGAGGTAGAGGTAACAAACACTATGCCAAATGTTTTAATAACCTGCCCCTCCAACACACACGCGCACGCGCACACGCACACAAATACACTCGTTTGCCCATATATTCTTGAAAACGTGCCAGTCGTCATCGAGATGCCGTAAGTACGCATAAAGTACCTGACTCTATTGGTTTTCAAGGTCACGTGCATTTGAAGCCTCATGTGTTTCCAAATACATCTCACGCTCTCAAATATATGTCTGACTTGATTGATGAAGAAGCCTAATAACAAGTAATAAGGCCGACGTTTGCTCCACCACTCCTTTGTCAACTCTTAGACACGTTTTAACAATAAACATGTCAAAGCGTACCCCAAGGACTGTGTCTCGCGTCGTAGACACTTACAATAGAAAGCATGATAATGTCACGCTCCCGAGATACCACAATTGTAAGTCAATAAGTCCGCGTGTTAGTATTTCTGTATTTATATCAACATACAAAAATAAAAGTGCTACTACATAAAGCTGTATATATGTCCTACCTTGGCCAGTTAGTGAATGCCTTCACCACTTAACTATCTTCTCAACCAGCCCCGTCAGTCGCCGGGTCAGCAATGTATCGTTCGCTTGTCGGTGTGTTTACGTCCGTCGTAGACCCACGTGACACATGTTTGTATACTCTCATTGTGACGTCACCTAGACTGCAAACATGTTGTGTTGAGATCAGTTTGTTGCATGACATGTTGGTCCTCCTGAACAGGTGGTGATGCGGACACGTCAACAGTTGCTTGGGTGAACTTTACCAGTTACTAAAGATTGAACTTATGGCCTGGATTCATTTGTGGAAAAAAAACTACAGGTCTAGCTAACTCGGCCCACACATCCATTTATCCTTCTATAAAAATGAGTTAAAGTAGTCGGTAAAATCATGTTGGTAATGACACGAACAGTCATGTACATCTAATTAGGTACAGCTGAGATGTGGGAAACGAACTGATGGAATTACCATCTCCATGATGTTTGGGTCAAATCCAGAAAAAGGTATCCCAAACTGTAAATGATATACTAGGAACAATATTTAAGGGAAGATCAAATTTATACAGAACTGATATGTTAAGAAATTACGTTGTGAAGTTCAATATTCATAGTGTCCAAGAGCGTAGATTTTGCCCTCGGGGGGAAGCTTAGGGTAGAGACGGAAGACAAAACTCGAAGACTAAGACGACAGCAGTCACGTTTATTACAGAAGGTTGAAATAGGTCGAAAAGGTACATGATAGTAATCACGTGACGGAACGCACACCGGACCGAGTGGTCAACGTTCCCGGTGCGGACACCCGCTCTCTCAGGAAGTCGGACGGAGATTTTTCTTCGTCGGCGTAGTCGTTTGTGGGCGACGGCTTTGACCAATGCCACGACTAGTTGTACAATTCGTCCGGTTCTGTCGATGATATGCATCCGTCCCTTGATTGACCGTGTCAGTCAGGTTTGGTAGATGGGAAACTACGTAACGTGGTGCAAGGTGAGTGACCTACGTATGTGTACATGCGTACCATCCGGCAACGGTTTAGATAGCGCTGGGTATTAAGGATCCTGCCATTCTTCTTGTATACGTAGGTTCTGCCTAAGCTGTTGCAAATTCTGGGAACGCTGAGGTTGGTTGTGAACCCTTCCGCCCTGAATGTCCCAAAGGTGTTCAATCGGTGACATGTCTTGAAATATGGCTGGCCAGGGCAAGGTTGTAACACCTTGCTGCCTCAGACAGTCGACTGCAACACGAGTGCTGTGTGGACGTGGGATGACCATTGGGCGTAACATTTGGTCCACATAAAGTTGACCGGTTATATACCGTTGCACGATCATCAGATCCGTCCTGTTGTCGCATGTGATGCCAGCCCAGGCCATTATGCTGCCGCCCTCATACCTGTCATGCTCTAGGCCTGCTGCCGCAATCGTACCTGTCATGCTCTAGGCCTGCTGCCGCCACCACCGTACCTGTCATGCTCTAGGCCTACTGCCGCCACCACCGTACCTGTCGTGCTCCAGGCCTACTTCCGCCACCACCGTACCTGTCGTGCTCTAGTCCTGCTGCTGCCACCGTACCTGTCGTGCTCTAGTCCTGCTGCTGCCACCGTACCTGTCATGCTCCAGGCCTACTGTCGCCACCACCGTACCTGTCGTGCTCTAGTCCTGCTGCTGCCACCGTACCTGTCGTGCTCTAGTCCTGCTGCTGCCACCGTACCTTTCGTGCTCTAGGCCTACTGCCGCCACCACCGTACCTGTCGTGCTCTAGTCCTGCTGCTGCCACCGTACCTGTCGTGCTCTAGTCCTGCTGCTGCCACCGTACCTGTCGTGCTCTAGTCCTGCTGCTGCCACCGTACCTTTCGTGCACAGTCCTGCTGCTGCCACTGTACCTGTCGTGCTCTAAGCCTGCTTCCGCCACCACCGTACCTGTCGTGCTCTAGGACTGTCGCCACCGTACCTGTCGTGCTCTAGGACCGTCGCCACCGTACCTGTCGTGCTCTAGGCCTACTGCTGCCACCGTACCTTTCGTGCTCTAGGGCTGTCGCCACCGTACCTGTCGTGCTCTAGGCCTGCTTCCGCCATCACCGTACCTGTCGTGCTCTAGGCCTGCTGCCGCCACTATACCTGTCGTGCTCTAGGACTGTCGCCACCGTACCTGTCGTGCTCTAGGCCTGCTGCTGCCACCGTACCTGTCGTACTCTAGGCCCGCTGCCGCCACCGTACCCGCATGCTCTAGGCCTGCTGCCGCGAACCGTACCTGTCGTGCTCTAGACCTGCTGCTGCCACCGTACCTGTCGTGCTCTAGGCCTGCTGCCGCCACCATACCTGTCGTGCTCTAGGCCTGCTGCCGCCACCGTACCTGTCGTGCTCTAGGCCTGCTGCTGCCACCGTACCTGTCGTGCTCTAGGCCTGCTGCCGCCACCCTACCTGTCGTGCTCTAGGCCTGCTGCTGCCACCGTACCTGTCGTGCTCTAGGCCTGCTGCCGCCACGGTACCTGTCGTGCTCTAGGCCTGCTGCCGCGAACGGTACCTGTCGTGCTCTAGGCCTGCTGCTGCCACCGTACCTGTCGTGCTCTAGGCCTGCTGCTGCCACCGTACCTGTCGTGCTCTAGGCCTGCTGCCGCCACGGTACCTGTCGTGCTCTAGGCCTGCTGCTCCCACCGTACCTTTCGTGCTCTAGGCCTGCTGCTGCCACCGTACCTGTCGTGCTTTAGGCCTGCTGCCGCCACCGTACCTGCCGTGCTCTAGGCCTGCTGCTGCCAACGTACCTGTCGTGCTCTAGGCCTGCTGCCGCCACCGTACCTGTCGCGCTCTAGGACTGTCGCCACCGTACCTGTCGTGCTCTAGGCCTGCTGCTGCCACCGTACCTGTCGTACTCTAGGCCTGCTGCCGCCACCATACCTGTCGTGCTCTAGGCCTGCTGCCGCGAACCGTACCTGTCGTGCTCTAGGCCTGCTGCCGCCACCGTACCTGTCGTGCTCTAGGCCTGCTGCTGCCACCGTACCTGTCGTGCTCTAGGCCTGCTGCTGCCACCGTACCTGTCGTACTCTAGGCCTGCTGCCGCCACCGTACCTGTCGTGCTCTAGGCCTGCTGCTGCCACTGTACCTGTCGTGCTCTAGGCCTGCTGCCGCCACCGTACCTGTCGTGCTCTAGGCCTGCTGCCGCCACCGTACCTGTCGTGCTCTAGGCCTGCTGCTGCCACCGTACCTGTCGTGCTCTAGGCCTGCTGCTGCCACCGTACCTGTCGTACTCTAGGCCTGCTGCCGCCACCGTACCTGTCGTGCTCTAGGCCTGCTGCTGCCACCGTACCTGTCGTGCTCTAGGCCTGCTGCTGCCACCGTACCTGTCGTACTCTAGGCCCGCTGCCGCCACCGTACCTGTCATGCTCTAGGCCTGCTGCCGCGAACCGTACCTGTCGTGCTCTAGGCCTGCTGCCGCGAACCGTACCTGTCGTGCTCTAGGCCTGCTGCTGCCACCGTACCTGTCGTACTCTAGGCCTGCTTCCGCCACCCTACCTGTCGTGCTCTAGGCCTGCTGCCGCCACCATACCTGTCGTGCTCTAGGCCTGCTGCTGCCACCGTACTTGTCGTGCTTTTGGCCTGCTGCCGCCACCATACCTGTCGTGCTTTAGGCCTGCTGCTGCCTCCGTACCTGTCGTGCTCTTGGCCTGCTGCTGCCACCGTACCTGTCGTGCTCTAGGCCTGCTGCTGCCACCGTACCTGTCGTGCTCTAGGCCTGCTGCCGCCACCGTACGTGTCGTGCTCTAGGCCTGCTGCTGCCAACGTACCTGTCGTGCTCTAGGCCTGCTGCCGCCACCATACCTGTCGTGCTCTAGGCCTGCTGCTGCCACCGTACCTGTCGTGCTCTAGGCCTGCTTCCGCCACCATACCTGTCGTACTCTAGGCCCGCTGCCGCCACCGTACCTGTCGTGCTCTAGGACCGCTGTCGGACAGCGCCTCTCTCTCCACCCGTGTTTGTAACACGTTGTCTACATATGAAAAGCCTAAAATGAACCTCGATTAATCATAAACATAACCACAATCAGACACATTCCTCTGAAAGGACGTTTGGATTTCAGACCCGAAGTTTTAACCTATTTCATATCGTTGATTCCTATGGCAGCCCTGATGTTGTCCCTCAGTTCTGTTGCAGAATCCGTTCCTCATACATAGCGACCTGCTTGGCAGTAATTTGTCTAGACCCCCCTCTACCCACCCTAATTGTAATCGTACCTGTTTGCCAATATCGTTCCATCAGTCGACAACTGCATTCTGTGATTGCCAGCTTCAATCATGCCCGTGGCGCGATGATTTTCAATATCTGTTATGTTCACTTTTGGAGGCATTTTCATTCGTTGTAACCGATCACTGGACCCACGTGGTCGTGACTTCTATTGGCACAGGCACGTAACCGGGATGTATCACCGTGAACGGCATGTTTTACATGTGCAGTTTGCAAAGTTTGAGCGAGGTGGCTACAATTTAGTGACTGTGTCTCGTCCAACAAATCTGGTCATTTCATTCTTATAGCTGAAATTACAGGGCTTTCCTCAAATATGGTTCATCGTACATTTGCTTATTGTGTGGACGACACCATGGCCTTTTTCCGTAATCATTGCCCGCTACCAAAGGGGATCGTAAAAGATACTGTTTCCTCGATATCTCAGGTTCTACATGTACCAAACATTATAACTTATCGCATTAACTAAATAGTTTTTTTACTGACTTTGATATAATTACAGTAACATTATTCTTTTGTCATATTTGTTTTCTGTGTATCAACGTTTTTACAATAAATGTATCATGTAATGTGTGAAAATTGTAATTCCCTCCCGATCGCTAACTTGGGATGTTAATTTTAAGAATATTCAAGCGATGTCTTGCAATCTAAACTGACGTCAAAAAGAAACTTTACCAGAGTTTGAAATCACTCTTGCTAAAAAATAACAAAACATACATGCATGAAGCAAAGTGTATTGCGAAGATCAATATATCAACATAATCAACACTGAACATGACAATCATACCGCGACCGAGAATGACGTCAGAGCCCCCCAAAGTTGGGTGTGGTACAAAATTCGAGCTTTCAGAATCATGGACAATATGCAGAGTACATAAACAATCGCTCACGTTCAATAACAAGT